GTATTGAGGGAGTGCCACACTGTCTGAGGGGCAGTATTGAGGGAGTGTCACATTGTCAGAGGGGCAGTGCTGAGGGAGTGCCACACTTTCAGAGGTGCAGTATTGAGGGAGTGCCACACTTTCAGAGGTGCAGTGTTAATGGCATACCACACTGTCAGAAGATTAGTACTGAGACAGGGCTACATTGTCAGATGATCAGTAATGAGGGTGTGCCAGAAAGATGCCAGTTTTCAGTTAGTTAGGATTTTAAACCAATGTCCCTGTGGATCTAATACCCTATTTCAAAGGACCACAAGGAGTTCTTTCTGGTCTCCTGACAGTATTTAAGCCTCAAACAACATTACATCTGGTCAAATACAAAATACTGCTGTTGCTGTAAATTTCAAATAAAAATATCAACTACTGGAAATAGTCAGCAAGTCATCCAGATTTCCATTGCTCTTCAAGATGCTGCCTGATGTCCTGGGTGTTTCCAGCATTTTCTGTTTATAAGACAGATTATTGTTTGTCTTGTGCAACTTGGCAATTACATTTTCTACTTTAGAACAGAGACTGTACTTTACAAATGTTACATTAGCTGTGAACCATGTTGGGTCATCACAAAATTCTGGGGGTTCTATAGAAATGCAAATTATTACCATTCCCAATTCTGTCTATCACAATCTTTTATGAAATATGCACAAATCTCAATTCAGTTTCACAGGATCCTACTCATAAAACATTATTAGAAACAAATTGCTTGATGTTTAAATTGTAAATTAGCTTCAAATATTATAAATGGCTTAAAGCAGAAAAGGAATCCTATTCACACAATCTTGTGTACTACATGCTATATATTTTCATTCTCTACTCTGTATCTTATACATTATATGATGTATCAATATATCATGCATTAACTTCATGTATATTTTGCTGATATTGTCTGTATATCATACACTGTCTAAGTAATAGTCCAGAGTGCAATCTATATCACATTTTATGACACACATAGCATCTGTATATTATGTGATATTTGTACTCATTTATCAAACATATATTATGTTTATTAATGAATTATATGAAATCTCTCATACAAACTGGGCCCAACTAGGTCTATGCCAGTGTTTATACCCTACACAGTTTTCTCCTAATCATTTTAAACTAAACCGGTCACCATACCCTTCTTTTCTTTTCTCCCTTATATGCTTGCCTAGCTTCACTTTAAATGAGTCTATGCTATTCGCTTCATCCACTCCGTGTGGTACTGAGCACAATATTCTAAATGCTCTCTCAGTTTAAAAAAGTTTCTGGTAAATTCCCAATTGGATTTATTAATAATCACCTTATATTTATGAATCTGGTTCTGGTCCACAAGTGGAACATTTTTCTCTGCATCTACCATATCAACCTTTGTTATAATCAATCAGATGAACCCCTATAGAGAAAAGAGTTCCAGTCTGTTCAAACTGCAGTGACAACCATGTCCTTTCAGTTTTGTAATTATCCTTGTAAATCTTTTATGCACCTTCTACAATATCATTTTCTTTATAGTGTACAGATTACAGCTGTTCAGAATACTCTGCATCTATACAAATTAATACACAAATTTAACAGAAATATTCACCTTTTCAAGTCAGTTCCTCAGGAAATGAATCCTTTCTTTAAAGTCTTACTAGCCCATGTTCCTATTTGTGATTGTGCAATATATAACCTCAGGTATTTCTGCAGCTATACCCCATACAGACTCTTATTATCAAGGCAGTAAACATGTGGCTTCCTTTATCTTCCTGCTAAAATGCATCACTTCACACACAGTTATATCAAATCTTATTTGGATATTCTACATTTATTAATATTTTCATTTAGAATCCATACAGTGTGGAAACAGGCCACTCAGCCCAACAAGTACACACCAACTAATCCCACCCAGACTCAGGCCCCTACCCTATCCGATCCCTCTACTTCCCACGGCTAATCCTTGTAACCTACATGTCCCTGAACAGTATGGGTAATTTAGCATGGCCAATCCACCTAACCTGCACATCTTCAGACTGTGGGAGGAAACCCACACAGACACATGGAGAACATACAAATTCCACATAGACAGTTGCCCAAGGCTGGAATTGAACCCAGGTTCCTGGCACTGTAAGGCAGCAGTGCTGACCACTGTGTCTCAGTCTTTTTTACGTATTAACATAAAATCTAACCTGATACAGTTCACAAATTTTGAAATTACTTCCAATACCCCAAGTCCAATTTATTTGTGCAAATAGTGAGTACAGATGACACAATGCTGATCCACATGAAAGACTATTTTCCATCCTTTGCCTGCTTGAGTAATATCTTAACCCCTATTTTATGTTCCCTGTTTTGTAACCAGCTTGCTGTCTATTCTAATATCTGTCTCCAGACTTTACATGCTTTGACCTCAGTAATGCGCATACTGTGTAATACCTTACTGAAGTCCTTTTGAAAAGTCTAAACAGATTACGTCTCCTGTATAACATCTCCTTGTCTATATTTTTTCCTGTGCCTTCTGTTATACGATAGACACTTTACACTTCTTATAAATTGTAACAAGATGCTCTCCATATTACACAATCTACCCATCTTTTATGAAATATGCACAAATCTCAATTCGGTTTCACAGGATCCTACTCATAAAACATTATTAGAAACAAATTGCTTGATGTTTAAATTGTAAATTAGCTTCAAATATTATAAATGGCTTAAAGCAGAAAAGAAATCCTATTCACACAATCTTTGAGCAAGACAGCAGAAAGTAAATGGATCCCGCATGAATCTAAGAGTAAATGTTGCTTGAATCTTTCCACAGGCACTTCAGATTGTTCCCGTTGTGCTGGCAGCAAGTTATTGCATCCATGTGACTACTTGCTGCCAATCTGAAGTGCTTCATGATTTTCTACATGTTAGCCCATGTAACATATACCTCAAAGATTCAGATTCACAATGAGTCAGAGAACTGGATATTTATTAACAACTGTGTAAGTCAATATGACATTTCAGATACAGTCTAGATTATATACTTGTTTATACTACTATTACATTACTTACATCATTGAGCTGGCCATTAGCTAACAGACCATTTGCCAGCTAATGAAATGTACAACAAGTAAGATGGAGATCTCTTATTCTAGAGGATTACATGTCATTATGTCTTTTAAGTTAAATGTCTTAAGGATATTGTGCCCTAAGATCTGTGCAATAATACAACATCTCCCTTTTCCCATTGAATAATAAAAAACCTGCTTTGATAAATATATGCATGGATGTATATTGACACATTATGTTTATACACTGGAATACCATTTTGGGGACATTATAATGTGACTAAAACTAGTCCTTACATAATTATCAAGACTCAGCTTTACTCTGTGGTGAGTGTCATTGTGGATGGATGCATATCTTACATTATAGATGTCCAGTTGCTATCAGGTGTGATATTTTCAATATCAGAGTTATCATTTTGTATGATACCTCAGTATTTATGTTTTTGTAGATAAATAGATGCAGGAAGTAAATTGCGCTATCAATTTTTTATAAGTTTTACTAATTCCCCGTAACTTTCTAGCTAAAATTCCCATCTTTTCTATGCAGTAGTTACTCACCAGTTGTCAGGAACAAACCCTTGCTTTAGACTTGCTTCCCAGGAAAGTCATGGTCAAAAAGATACCACTGAATTTGAGCAAGAATTAATGCAAGAACTTATGTAACTGTTGCCGCAGGCACCGCATCATTATGTCCAAAGCTGTGCAGGTTAGGTGGATTTGTCATGGTAAAATTTACCCATAGTGTCCAGGGTTGTGCAGGCTAGGTAGACTGGCCATGGCAAATATGGAATTAGAGAATAGAGTGGGGGTCCTGGGTCTGGGTGGGATGCTCTTCCAAGGGTCAGTCAGACTTGATGGGCCTAATGACCTCTTTCCACACTGTAGGGGTTCAATGATTTTACAATTATGCTCAGAACACCTCTCATTCTTGTCTAATTATGTGGTGGAATTATGCTTGACAGGTTCCACTCTTAAATTTCTAGTTCTGACTAGATGATCACTTGCAATGGTTTCGCTTACCATTCCTGTATGATTACTTACCTCTGTGTCTTCCAGGATCTATCCATGACCCCTACCTATTTCTCATCTACACTGCCCCTCCACCAAGTCTGCATGACTGTTATTGTTGTAGAAGCTGGGATGGTGATGATGAAGCAGAGGGGGACGTGGAGTCAGCCTTTGGCACCTAATTTGAGTGGAGGGCTATTCCCTGAAAATGGTGACATAAAAGGATAAGGTGGTCAAGAAGGCATATGGGATGTTTGCCCTCATCAGTCAGGGCATTGAGTATAAAAGTTGAAAAGTCATGTTGCAGCTGCATAGAATTTGAGTTATCTACATTGGAATATTGTGTACAGTTCTGGTTGTCACACTACCAAAGGGATGTGGAGCTTTGGAGAGTGGGCAGAAAAGGTTTACCAGGATGTTGCCTGGATTGGAGGGTTTTAGCTATGAGGAGAGATAGGACTAACTTGGTTTGTTTTCACTTGAAAATCAGAGGCTGGGGGGGCAACCTGATAAAAGTTTACAAAATTATGAGAGGCATGGATAGAATGGATTGTCAGAGTCTTTTTTCCCAGGGTAACAATGTCAATTACTAGGGGTCATAGATTTAAAGTAAAAGGCAGAAAGTTTAAAGGAGACCTGAAAAGCAAGCTTTTTTTTACACAGAGGGTGGTAGATGCCTGGAATATGGTGCCAGGGGAGGGGGTGGAGGCAGATACAAAAGCAATGTTTAAGAGGCATCTGGATAGATCCAAGAATAGGCAAAGAATAGAGGGATGCAGACAGTATAGAAGCAAAAGGAGTTTTAGTTCAGGAAGGCATCATGTGCTGGC